AACTTCAAAAAAACTTCCCGCCCAAACTAGAGCAGGTAGAGCGTTGCCTTTTAGTCCATTTATAAAAGACACTTGACTGTTAAACAGGAGCAAATTTCACGCCAATCAGACCGCACGATTTTTGCCCAGGAATCTAAATTTGACTAGAAACTCAAAAAAGCTCTCCGGCAGAGCCAGAACTTCAAAAAACTTCCCGCCCAAACTAGAGCAGGTAAAGCGTTGTCTTTTAGTCCATTTATAAAAGACACTTGACTGTTAAACAGGAGCAAATTGCACGTCAATCAGACCGCAGGATTCTTTGCCAGGAATCTAAATTTACCTCAAAACTCAAAAAGCTCTCAGGCAGAGCCAGAACTTCAAAGAAACTTCCCGCCCAAACTAGAGCAGGTAGAGCGTTGTTATTTAGTTCATTAATAAAAGACACTTGACTGTTAAACAGGAGTAAATTTCACGCCAATGAGACCGCAGGATTTTTGCCCAGGAATCTAAATTTGACTAGAAACTCAAAAAAGCTCTCAGGCAGAGCCAGAACTTAAAAAAAACTTCCCGCCCAAACTAGAGCAGGTAGAGCGTTGCCTTTTAGTCCATTTGTAAAAGACACTTGACTGTTAAACAGGAGCAAATTTTTACGCCAATCAGACCGAAGGATTTTTTCCCAAATATCTAAATTTGACTAGAAACTCAAAAAAGCTGTCAGACAGAGCCAGAACTTCAAAAAACTTCCCGCCCAAACTAGAGCAGGTAGAGCGTTGCCTTTTAGTCCATTTATAAAAGACACTTGAGTGTTAAACAGGAGCAAATTGCACGCCAATCAGACCGCAGGATTTTTTTCCCAAAAATCTAAATTTGACTAGAAACTCAAAAAAGCTCTCAGCCAGAGCCAGAACTTCAAAAAAACTTCCCGCTCAAACTAGAGCAGGTAGAGCGTTGTTATTTAGTTCATTAATAAAAGACACTTGACTGTTAAACAGGAGCAAATTTCACGCCAATCAGACCGCAGGATTTTTGCACAGGAATCTAAATTTGACGAGAAGCTCAAAAAAGCTCCCAGCCAGAGCCAGAACTTCAAAAAAACTTCCCGCCCAAACTAGAGCAGGTAGAGTGTTGTCTTTTCGTCCATTTATAAAAGACACTTGCCTGTTAAACAGGAGCAAATTTCACGCCAATCAGACTGCAGGATTTTTTCCCAGGAATATAAATTTGACTAGAAACTCAAAAAAGCTCTCAGGCAGAGCCAGAACTTCAAAAAAACTTCCCGCCCAAACTAGAGCAGGTAGA